CCTCATAAATTAATACCAAGGAGATTAATTAATATCTTTGTAATGAACCTTAAACCTTATTCTATAAATCCTAAACCCTAAATCCTAAACTATAAACCTTAAACCCTAACCCCTAAACCAGATTATATGATAGGGGTTAAGTTATGCACATGAAGGTCACATACAAATTATGTAAAATGATGTTATGTGACTCCTAAATAAATTATTCGCATACTTATACATAAACATATCAACATGCAAAATAAATATACACAAGTAATTAAAGAAAACAATCCTAAACAGGGACTAAATTAAGAGAAACCTAAATGTGAGGACTAATTTAAGCTAAATATACTAACTTTATAATGATGATTAAATTCACGTAAATGTAAAATTAAACTTAAAAAATTGGAATTAAACCAATGACTTAAATACAAAATGCGCATAAACTATAGGGTCTTATATGCAATTGATACTATTCGGTTTAAGCTAAAATAATATGGAAAATAACATAAATGACACCTGAACATTTAAAACAAATAAGAAAATTTAAACAAATATGATTGAAATACAAAAATTAAAATATAATATACCAAACTATAAATTTATTAAACATTCATATACATATTAAACTAATGACTAAATTTAAATAAACGTAAAATTCAACATACAAATCAAGAATTAAATTAAGGATTTACAAAAGTGTGCTCAAGTTTGGGGGACTATAACCTAATTTACCAAAAAATTAATATGAAACCTAAATTTAACTAAACCTAAACTAAACTCACGCACACAAAATACCAAACACAACCGCACATCCCTAATAGCAAAATTACTCTCTCTGTGTGTCTTAGTTTGAAGCTTCAAGTGCAAAGTCAAGGGATTTGCTGGTGGAGAAGAGGATAGGGATCTCTCTGCCTTTAAAGTTTGATCCTTGAATTCAAAGCTTTATACTTTTCTAACTTGTTCTTCCCTTCTATCTTTTTAGCTTTCTTTTCGTTCTTTTTTTTTCTCTCCTAGCTCCTGTCCATATAGAAAGAATTTTTGTATCTATGTTGATGATCTAATGCTTCATTTCCCTCCTAACGTACTCTGTCCAACACACATTTGAACATAGGTATGTGATACTATTCTCCAAATATATGAAAGAACTTGTGAGAAATGAGTGTATCCGAGCTGGATATTATTCTTGTGACATAGATGTGGATTGTCTTCTTCATTATTAGATTTCATCTGTAATTGAGTTGCAATTTTATATGCTTTTCTGCATATAGCTTGAATACTGTGTTTTGAATTTATGCTTTATTGGATAGGAGCTAAGCAGATTATATATATATAAATGCTTGTTATGGATTGTGTTGTAATCTTTAGTTTAATGGAAGTAATCTATTTTCATTAGTTAGCACAACCAACCACATCAAATTTGTAATATCCCAAATCAGGGTCAGTGACTAAATTGCAAATTTTGTGCTCAATTTAGAAATAAATTAAAAGTCTCGGGAGTTAAGTAAAGAATTTTAATATTGGATTAAATAGCAAAGATGAATGAACTAAAGAGGCAAAATGGTCTTTTCATGGGAAATATTTTTATCTTCCCTTTTTGAGTATTATAAAACGTGGGAAATATGAGAGAGTTCCAGACTTCTCTTCTTCATTATCTTCTTTTCCACCGTGAAGCCATAAGCAAATGTAAGATCTCTTGTTAGTTGATATTTAGCTGAATTTAGGATTTGGTTATGATTATTGGATGATAATTAAGCTTTAGGAAAGCTTAAATCATCTTAAAAACAAAGGATGGTGGAATTAGGAGAGATTAAAGATTAAGAGCTTTTGAATGACATTCTGGAATAGAGTTCTTTACTCAAATTGGAAGATAAATTTGACTTGTCAATGGTTGAATTAAGAGATATGAAGTGATGGAATTGAATTTAGAACAAGAAGAAAAATTAGTGTGATTCTTGAATTCTATGTAGAGGATTAGATTTTGAAGTTAAAGATGTATTGAATGAGTAGTAATATGTTTAAGCATGTATATGTAAGTTAAGAATAAGAAAGGGGATGATATATAAAGTGTTTGAGAGGAAATGAAGTAATTTCGAGCTGAAAAATATGATTTCTGGGCTAGGGGAATCGGTACCCATTCAAGGGGAACCGATACCCCCTCAAACGAACCAGAATTTACAGAATGTCATGGGGGAACCGATACCCCCACAGGAGGGAACCGATTCCCCCCTAAAGGAAGAAATGAATATTGGTTTATTAAGTTCGTTTAAGTTGTTAGTATCGAATTACAAGATGTAGGTATCTAATAATTGTCTTGAAAATGTATAATTATGTAGATTCAGAGCCTGAACGAGTTCCGGAATCATTGTCAAGTAAGATCGATCAAAGGGAAAGATAAGATATTGGAATTGACTAGTGTGGCCAGGTGAGTGCATATTCAATAGTATATGATGGGTGATGGGAAGAAGACTTGCGATGAGTCTATTTCCTGAAGAGTTACATATGAATTCATGATTAAAGGCATGAGTTGAATATGAGTGTATGTATACTTGATTATATGAATTGATATGTTTTGTATGTGCGATGTGGTTTATGTACACACACTATTAAGTGTTAATGAGAGAATATTAAATAAGTTATGAAATTATATGAATATAGAAGATAAGTCAAGAGATGTAGGGAAATGGAAATAGAGGTTTATGAAGAATCATAGGAGAATAAATATAAGTAATAAGATAATGAAATATAAGACTATGTGAAATACATGGTTATGAGAATTAGTAAAATAGAGTTATTTGATTTAATGAGAATTAAGGAAACTAAATAAGATTGAATTATAGAATAGAATGAGAATAATATATCTATTAGGGAACTTGAATATAAAGCGCTGATATGTATATATATATGATAAATTATATGCTAAAGATCTATGGGGTTATATGAAAAGGTTATAAGGAATGTATGAAATTGAATTAATTAAATAGATTAAAGTAGTATATAAATAAAATATGATTAAATGTAATATATATGTTTAGAAATACGACATAAGTTATATAATCTAAGGGAATATAAAGAAATAAAGCATAAAGTAGACGAAATGAGATAAGTTATTATATACCTATATGATATATGTTATCAGGTAATATGAAAGGATTCAGGAAACTTATATAAGCTATGTGAAAGTGATCTAGATGTTTATATGTGAATTATTTGGTAATAAGTTATATGAAATAAGTGTAGTGATTACCAGATCATAAGAGATAAGTCAGAGAATGTGAATAATATGACCAGAAACTATGAGCCTGTGTGATGAAATGAATATATGAAGACATGACTATGAGATATGTGATAAGAAGTTATGATTAAATGATAAAGAGATATAAGCTAAGGGATATCTGTGAATTACATGAAAATGTGCTATGTGTAAGTGAATTACGTGATTATATGAATATGAAATCATATGAGAATTTACATGAACTACGTGATTACATGTATGTGTGAATGAAGCTACGAGCTTATATGAATATGTGATATGTTTACATGAATATGTGCAAGGATATAAAAGATAGTGTCCATGTTATGTGTCTTGAGAGCTAGGGGTATAGTTGGCATACCAAGAGTCGAGGGTCTACGCGGTCCTTCGGGATATATATATATTCTTTGGAACATGTGTGAAGTCTTGTGAGACACATACTTGATCCCTAGTATATGTATATGATTCTTAAGGAATGATATGTAGTCCTTATGGACATTATTATATGGCACTACGGTGCAATTCTACGCGGCACTCTGGTACAATTCTACATGGCACTTTGGTGCAATTATACGAGCTGTGGTGACATCATTAGTGCACAACCTCTATAGACTCACATATCTATGGTTCTCACATGTGTACATGGGCTAATAAAGGAAATAATATAAAAGAACCTTGCATGATAGTATGTGATTGGTTTGTAATCTTTATGGTGTGAACTGATATATGTGATATGATGATGTGAATATAGCTTGGTTAAGAGGAATTGATGCAAGAACATATGACAAAAAGATAAAGAACGAAAATAAGACTAATAAAGAGATAATAATAAATACCTTACATATGATTTACATGTTTTGTGCTAGGAAACCTGTTATAAGAATATGTGAATGATGTATATGTACAAGTGGATAGTGGTTGCATGACAGAATGTATGATTTTGTATGATATAATAAGTATAGATTATGAATGCATTAGTAGTGGTTATATGTTTTTATGCCACACTAAGTCATCGACTTAGCGTGTGAGTGTTTCACACGTAGGTTCCGGAAAGCTAGAAGAAAAGTGAAGAGGAGCAAGACCGATCAGTTACTTCTTGCTGAAGATCATATCAGAAAAGATGTCTTGAATTAGATGTATTATGTATATTGAATATAATTGGCATATACTAATTGATTGAGTTAAACAAACCGCTGTGACTTTAATGAAAGTTTTAAATTTTCTCGAGTTTTTGTCATGAGTCAAAGTTTGAAAAGTCAATTTGATACCTCGGACTCGTATCCGGGTCGGGTACGGGTTGGGGGTGTTACAAAATTTCCTCTATTTTAGGACTGATTCACGGGTTTCTTCATTATTGTGTCACCTGATGAAACACTTGTAAGCTAGGTGTTGTTCCCTGTTTCTTTGTTACAGAACTGTTATAATTTCATATATAGCTGAGTCCTTACTAGTTTTCATTTTTTTTTATTTTTTGATTTGTTGTTAATTGAAACCCGAAATCCCGTATGTTTTGCTAGCATGCACAATGAGCCATAGAGGCAATTTCATTTGTGAAATTATATCCATTTTGTTTAGGTCACAGGGAGTCATGCTGGGGCTTCCCCTCAGCAGTCATCTTCCTTTATTATTCTAGCTAGACAGTTTGTTACAGCAATACTGGTTATGGATACTTGGCAATATCCGATTCAGACTGTTCATTATTATTATCTAAACTTTGACTTGTGCATCAATGGATAGCATTTAGGTAACCTTTGGATGCTTTTTTTGGTAATAGGTCCTGTAGCTGAAGACATGTTTCATTGGCAAGCAACAATCGTGGGCCCTTCCGATAGCCCTTATGCTGGAGGTGTATTTTTAGTTACGATTCATTTTCCTCCGGACTACCCTTTCAAGCCTCCTAAGGTAATTTACTTCACCCGCGATGTTTTACTCTAGTGTTGATGATTGTTCGTATGATACTCTACACACTCTTTTCATGGGCAATGTTGTTCTGTTGTATAGGTTGCATTTAGGACCAAGGTCTTCCATCCAAACATCAACAGCAACGGGAGCATTTGTCTTGATATCCTAAAAGAACAATGGAGCCCTGCACTAACCAATTCCAAGGTCTATTCTTACTTCTGCTCTTTTTTTAATAGGTTGTTTCTAAATGACGTGTAACTAAGATCCAATCAGCCGAATGTTCCTAAGGCATGGATTCGAGCATGACCAGCATTTGCAGGCTCTGTCCCTTGTTGTGCTTGGTGCTCTATCCCTTGTTTTGTGTGTCTACAGGGCATGGATTCGAGCATGGCCAGCATGGGCGACATCAACATTGGTTTCGGTGGATGGCTGACCAGCATGGGTCTTCCTCGGTGGGTTCACGTGGGTGGCGCACTGTCTCGGGCTTCCTCCTGGTGGATTTGCACCATATGTTAATATAATAAACATGAGTAATAATAATACTGATAATTATTATAAATTTTTTTTCAAAGTTTATATTAATTATCTTAAATTTCTTGTAATTGTATTTTTGTTTTTTTAGATTTTTTATAGTTCATACATTCATATTATATTGTATTGGTGATGGTTGATTAAAGGGAAAATTATTTATATATTTTAAATGCAATATAAGATTTTTGTATGTTCAAATTTGAGTTTGAGTTCGAGCTTGAATCGAGCTCGAGTCTCGAGCTTCAATCGAGCTCCTGATTTTTTTTTGAGTTCGAGCCTTTTCGAGTTCGAGTCAAGTTTTAATATTATCTTTCGAGTTCGAGTCGAGCTTGAAAATTTTAGGCTCGCGAGTTTTCGAGTCGAGCTTACATTTAAAGTTTTCGAGTTCGAATCGCCCTAGTTATGACAGCCCAAGCTCTTATTTATTTATATTTTATCTAAATTTTAATTATTACTATCACTTATCGTTAATATAAGCATGGTTCATATAATTTATCCGATGATCTTATATAAATGTATGATAATGATTAAGCCACTAAAAAGTAATGATCAAAATAATAATGGATTGATTTTTAACTATGAATTATACTAAATATTAAATTTTTTAAAAAATATTAAAAATTTAAATTTTGATGTTGCCAATAAACTAAATTGAATTGAGATAGTTATTTATATTATAATAAATCTCTTCCGTTAAAGATAGATTAAGTGAGCGAATTTTCTCATAAAAAATTTAAATTTTCATATATTTTAAATATACTTTTATATTTTTTTTATTAAAAATATATTTCTGTTCATTTAGAAATTTATGAGTTTATCCCATGGCAATGAACGATGGTCCACTACAGTGGCGGTTCCATTAATATTTTTTCAAGTGGGTACATGTATTAATAATGAAATTTTTTCGTACGAGGTGAACACAAATAAAATTTCGGGATAAACACCTTCAGTAAAATGAACTACTAATATAAAGAAATTTGGATTTAAGGGTGGAAACCTTTAATAAAATAAACAACTAACATAAAAAAATTCGGATTTTAAGGTTGGCACATGCTTACCTGGGTTCAACCTACATCTGCCAGTGGTCCAATGTTTGGAGGGTTATTTCGAAGCTTGAAGGGTTGCTTGGGATGCATTGCCAGTTGGTTGTCGTCTTAAAGCAGTTGGCTTGGCAGATGGTACTTTCCCTTGTTCCCATGCTGAAGAAATAACTCTCCAATGCTGTTCGTGATTGTCCCTTTGCTCAAGAAGCTCTTCGACTTGTGGATGTACCTGCTTGTGTTTACATGAGTTCCATGGATAACTCATTGCTTTGGATCGAAAAACTGCGGCTGTTGGATTGTGGTGAGGAATCATATGGGTCTTGTCTGTGGTGATCTTGCTCAGCCATCCGTTGAGTGTTTTGATGCTAGCTTTGTTGAGATGCATGCCTTGTCGGGATTCGTCTTGTTAGTGATAATGGCCGGGATAGGGGTGCTCAATAGGTCGATTCCATTAATCTACCGAATCGAATTTTTAAAATTTTATTAACTGATTTTTTTCGTTTTAATTGTTAATTGAACTATTTTTTAAAAAATAATTAATCGAACCAAACAAAGTTCGTGTAACCGAATTAATCGAAATTTTAAATAATATATATTATATATATTAAGCATTTAATATTTTCAGCTAATTCGATCGGTTAATTTGTTTAATTTAGTTGATTAATTCGGTCTATAAAGATTTTGGTTCGGTCGATTAACCGGTAAACTTTTGTGAATCGGGCTTGTAATGTAGTTGCTCATAAGTTAGCACGATGGGCCTTTCTATCTTGTCCTTCTTTGATCTTTTAATCGGTTTATCCTGATTTTATTATTTGATAAAATGACGTAGTTTCATGATATTAATATATTTGGGTACTCTTTTCTTCTTAGTAGGTTTAGAAATAATTTTTAATAAAACCAATTTAAAAAAAGTAATTCTGTCCACGTGACTTCCGTATACAAATTTATATTAATCAACCAGAATTGAATATCGATGATTAATAAATGGAGTAAAAATATTAGGGTTGAAAGTGTGATCAATTTCAGAAGCCTAATATAGAATTTTCCATCTTAGCCCATGAACATTTTTTGTCCGCTTTAAACCCTTAACTTATTTTCCGTAACCCAAAACCCATTCTTACTGTCTTTATGTCTGTTACTCTCGAGTGCGAAACCGAATTAATCAACAAAAGGAGGCTCCCTCCCCTTCGTCTCGAGCTCCAGCTGTCGCACTGCTAATGGTACGTTTTAATGATATATATATATATATATATATGATTACTTATGCCCTCCAATTTTTTATTTAGCTTTCCCTCTCAGTTCCTATCAAGGGTTTATCACTTTTCTTAGCTGTTCATATGTAAGTCTTCCATTGCTTAAATAGCCGATGAAAAGGGGAAGTGGTAATATACGGTTAAAAGCTTAAAATAAGGTGTTGTAAGTTTTGTTATTATTTTAAATAATAAAATTGGTAAAAAATAATTAAAAATATTATTATTTTTATTATTATCAATTACCGATATAGATAATCTCGGTAGAAAAATCCGATCCAAAAATAATATTTTTGGTAAAACACTACCTAAAATATTATTTTGTTACCATATTTTTTCTACCGTATTTACTTATATCGGTAATTATAATCGGTAGAAATAATAATATTTTCGGTCAGTTTTATCGATTTTATTATTTAAAATAATAACAAAATTGATAATATCTTATTTTAATCGTATATTAAGGTGTCGCACGTGAGTATTTCCACTGTACCCCCAATAAATCCTCAAATCAAAAATCTTAAAATTTGAGAAATTTGGACCTAATTTGTTAATTCGAAAATAAGATTAAATTTCAAATTTAGGAAGTTCAGGGTCTATTTCATAAATACTATAAATTGGAGTGGCCAGTTATGAAATTAACCCATTTTTCTTAGAAGCAAACTCCCTCCAATAATATCAACCCGTGCGGCTTCCCTTTCTCACCAAACCCTAGCAGCGCCGCTCACCTTAAATCTCCAACCCCTCGCCGTCGTGCGCCGGTTGTTCATAGGTAAGTCTCCGGTCACTTCTTAAGTTTTTCCGTTGAACCCCGTTCTGTTTCTCCGTCGAATCCGCGGGCCCCGGTTGGCGCCGCTTGTCTAGGCCGTTGGTGGCTGCCGCTTGAGGGATATCGCCGGAGAAGGCTCGGCTGGCCTGGACATCGACTGAACGGCCTCAAAACGCCCTCCTTCGGCCCTGTTATGTGCTGCCGCCCTGCCCTCCGCCGCCGGCCGATTAAGGCCACGGAAACGCCGGCCGTGTTAACCCCTGACCCGTAGAACTGCTTCCGGTGTAAACTCGTCGCCGGAAGTTCCTTTCCGATGTACCAGCAGAATTATTTATCTGGACCAAATACCCGCTGCCAGTTTAATTTTCGAATCAGAAAATCATTGTCATCATTAAAATTATTATGGAATATTTGGGTTATTTGGGTATTGATTCGAGCGTCGGAAATCTTTGCAGGTGAAACAGAACCGAGTTACCGCTTCCGTTACCCGTGAACTTCGAACCGATTTGAGTTGCTCGTGTTGACTGTGAGTGAAAATTTATTAACTTTTGCGCGTTTAGTTATGTGGTTAACTTTAGAATATTGTAGTGATTATTTAAATTATTTTCTTTGCTTCTGATTTGGGTCCCGCTCAAGCTGACTGTGGTAGAGGGTATTATTGACGATAGCTTGTTGAGGTGTGTCTCTGTCCAGTGCTATATTTTGTTGTATTGATTGATTGTATAACTATATTGTTGTATTATTGAATTAATCATAATTGAGATAAGCATGTTTTTTGGGAAGTATGATTCCATGCATGATAGATTCTATGATATTGTGATACCTGATTAATTCGGAAAGGTATGTTAGGTGAAATATGTTGATATGTCGGATTGAAAATTTTGTTGTGCATACTGATTATCTGGTTGTGATGAATTATTGGAATCGAAATACATTCCTCATAACAAATATATGCTTCGGATTAAATATTTGCTTCAAAAATATTATTATTCAGATAGGATATTCTGTCATTTTGCATATCATGTTGAGACGATTTCTGATAGGGGAAGTTCAGTGCATTCACTCGATGGGGTGGATGACACTTTTTTAGATTAAGTGACCTCTGCCTTTGTGGCAGACCCAGTTATATGGTGTGTGAGTTGGATATAGTGTGGTTCTGGAGAACCCACTCTTTTGGGTGAGATTGGAGTACAGGTGGGTGTATGAACATTTGCATAACATTTAAATTGACATTATTGTCGATGATTTGGCGTATGAATATAATTCCGTGAATGCTTCGGACTATACTTTTACTTGTTTATGTTTGCACTTTAGAGACACACTAAGCCTCGTTGCTTACTCCCTTTAGTTTCTTATTTCAAACATCCGAGCTAGGTGAACCGGTACTTGGAGTTCGACTTTTCCCGTTGTCATTATCTATATAGTATGATATTTTCTCGGACTTTATGATTATTACTTTGTTAGTATTTTATTTGGAAAATATTTAATTTGTTTAAACATTTTGGGACATTGGACATTAATTTATTATTTTGGACTGCTAAGAACTTTTTAATACTTATTTGACATACTGGATTTTCTTTGGTTATTTATTTAATAATATTTATTAGTTTTGGAGTTTCGAATGTCTTCTAACATTAAATGATTATTTTAGAGTTTCAAAATTCAAAATCGGTTTCGTGAGGGACAAGTTTTAAATTGACTTTCTAAATTCAACCTAATCCTCTTTTAGGTCAAATTTAGGGGTTATGCACACTTTCTCCTTTTTTTAGTGATTTTCAATCACTTATATTTTTTTGATTATCATTAGAAACGATTAGTACGAAATGTCACATATAGTTTGGAATATAAGTTATTTAATTGGGAAACTTATATTTTTTTTAATCCTAGAAATTTAGGCACTGCGAAGAAGTTTTACTCTCGGATGAACTGCTTGTCTCACGTGCGTGCTTATAGTTTGGCTTTATTTAGAAAGGCTGGTAATTTCATAGATACTACTTTAAACCAATGCCATGTTCCCTTAGGGAGAAGAAATTTTCAAAATGCCCGTGTTAACACTGCGGATTTAGAGTGTCTGTCGGCAAGATTTTGCACTCGGTGCTACTCTTCCCGGAGTAGTAACAGTAGCAGTAGTGGTAGGAAAAAACATCTAGGACGAAAAAAGTCGACCCTGAGCAACTGCTGATGGAAAACGAGAAAGATGCATTCTTTGTAGTGAGAAAGGGAGATGTTGTTGGTGTTTTCAAGAGCTTTGCTGAATGTCAGGCCCAATTAGGATCCTCAGTAATTCCTTTTACTTCCTTTTTTTTCTTCCTAATGTCACCTAAAGTTGATACCTTTTTCAGCTAATTGTGTTGCTATACTATGTTATTGCAATATGAATTTTAACGTCCTTATATTATAATGAAGTGAGTCAATGATTGTAATGCTAATAACATAGTAATCCTTCAAAGTTAGATACTGTCTTTCTTCTTTCTGCTTGGCTGTTAACTTTGACATGTTATTGTTCTATTTCAATTAGATTTGTAATCCTCCGGTCAGTGTTTACAAAGGCTCCTCCTTGACGAAGGAAACTGAGAAATATCTGTCTTCCTGTGGGTTTAAGAATGCTCTCTACACTATTAAAGCTGCAGATGTGAAAGAAGATCTTTTTGGAGCACTTATCCCCTGCCCCTTTCAAGTGAGACCTTAAACATGAACTTTATGCATACCGCAAAATTTCTGTTTCTTCAAACAAGTCTGCTAAAAAAAGAAAGAAAAGATTTTGATGTTCAATTCCTTTTCCTGCACCCGCACCCATGTCTGTGTAGTTGAATATATTCTTGTGACTGCAATTTCACATAAAACTTGCATCGCCCTTGTCCCTAGTAATGTGGTTGCTTGCAATTTAAGGTTTTGAATAGGCCGTCAATGATCAAACTATTTGTAGTTTGATTAACTTGTTTCTTTCTCATGCTAACTGTATCACAAAGGCCATTTTATACCATCTGGCTCTTATAGATTTGAAGTTCGTTATTCCTTTTTTTTGTCCAAGGAACCAGCTTCTTCTAATGTTGAAATATCTCACAATGATGCAACCAAAAATAAACCACAGTCAGAGTATGGGGTAGGTTTGCAGTTTTAATTTTTCCTCAGTAAGTCATTAATCATTATTAATGTGACTTTCATGATTAGATGTGACATTATCTCTCAGAGTTATGTCCTTAACCTTTTGCAGGGACTGGGATCTCTTGAATCACCAGTTGTAGCTGATCCTGTTAGAAAGCATGTCAAGTTGGATCCGCATGCTGAAGTTCAAACAGCATCCTCTGGTTATGTAAGTATATTCCGGTTTTAACAGCTGAGTATTCCACTAAATGGTTGAATATATTTCCTCAAACTGAAGAACTTACATATATACATATAAACTAGAGGACTTTGCTATCTAAGATCTCACAATTAGGTCTTTTATTCACATTATAAGAGGGTTTCCCGAGAGAGAAAAGGGTTTCTGAATTAGTTTACCATGATTTTTATGCTCTGAAAGAAGGCTGTGATGCCTGTACTTTATGACTTGATGGCAGCTGTCTTGTATTCTTGAGTTTGATGGGGCATCAAAAGGAAATCCTGGACCAGCTGGTGCAGCAGCTGTGTTGAAAACTGATACTGGAGCTGTGGTATGCAACTCACCATTTGGAATTTTGACCTTTTCCGCACCTACATCTTTCCATAATATGATGTTTTGAACAGATTTGCAAATTACGCGAGGGTTTGGGCGTAGCAACCAATAATGCTGCTGAATATCGTGCATTAATTTTAGGGTTGAAACATGCTCTTAAAAAAGGTTATACAAACATTCGTGTTCTTGGTGACTCAAAGCTCGTTTGTATGCAGGTAGACTATTTTATCCAATCATTGTTGCTTTGATGTTATTTTCTCGGGGTAAAAAAATCTGGATGACAATTCTGGCTCTAGGTTCAATTCAGGGGACATACCTATTGTAATACTTTTTGCTATGCTAGTAGACTTCTCATTTGAGGGTCCCATTTGTTTCTCTATTATAAGTTTTGAGTTGTAAGCCTTTAGACAATTGTTTCCTTTGTGGCTTGGTTCTGCAGGGAAGAACAATCCATTCCCCCCCCCCCCAAAGAAACTTCTAAACAAGAAGAGTATTTAATCTGTTCAATGGTCTTTCCTGTTAGAAAACACGCCTTACTTATTTCTTCCTTCCTACACCAAATTCCCCCCCCCCCCCTCAAAATAAGGATATATTTCTTCATTTTTGGCTGGCCTGTCACTTGAGGGAAAATCAAATTGTCTATGGACAAACTTATAGCTCAACTGTTGCTATTCCTGGGCCTTCAATATAGGCCTAAATCTTGGTTGACCAAAAATAATAATAATAACAAAATTTCCTTGATCTTGGAGCTATTTTGTTTATTTTTTATTTTATTGAACAGCTGCAGGGTTTATGGAAAGTCAAACACGAGCACATGTCTGAGTTACATGAGCGGGCAATAAAACTTAAAGATAAATTTCTTTCATTTCAGATCGATCATGTTTTAAGGGTATGAAAAGTTCTTATGCTTGATAGCAAAGTAATCGGCAGAAATTCTTTTTCTTATGACCACTGTTGCCTCTTTTTTTATTACTATCATTATTAGGTGTTTATAATGTTTTTAAAGCTTGGGTCATTGCTTGCATCTACAACTTTTTGACTTTTATTTAAGCGCTTTTAAGGCTTGCATGCTTTGGACCAGCATTTGGCTGGAAGCCAGTAAACTAGAATCTGATGGCTGATGTTTTCAATGCCATTTTAATTTCTCGTAGATAGTGCAGAATAAAGAATGAGACTGTTGAGGTCCCTTGTTCACGATCAAGTCACTGGGTGATTAGCGGGAATGTTGGAAGCGATTGCCTTCCCTTTATGGCTATTCTTGGAATGACCTATGGTGATTGATAAATTAGCTCGTCGAAGGGAGGCTGAAACCTCACAACTCGTGAAAAGAGAGACCAAGATCTTTTTAGGGTTTTGATAAAAGTTCTGCGTAACTTTCTTATTCCATAGGTCTCTTTAAATTGGGATTACGATAATTATAGAAAGAAAGTAAATAAAGTCCTTATAAATATTAAACTTCTTTCAGAAGAACAAATTGGACTGGGAAGACCGCCCCTATCATGGGCCTTTGTAGTATCAAATTCAGATTAGTTGACCAATGAGTTAGATTTTAGTAGTTATATAAGAAAAAGGCTAATAAAATAAAATAATATCTCACGTCCCCAACAGAGCTTTTAAATAATTTGCAGTGTCAAAACATCAGTTTTAGATAGTGTTACTGGTAGTTGTCAAGTCTCAAATCCAAAATACTTCATACAAGCATTTGCAATGATGTTATGTTTGCATTCTTTAGTAATAAGGTCTTTTGATCTCCCTTCCGTCTTATCACATTGCATGATTTAACCTTTTCTTGCTCACCTCTAAAAGGAACTAAATGGAGAGGCTGATGCTGAAGCCAACTTGGCTGTCAAACTTGCTGGTGAGGCTTGGTTTTAACTCTTTTTTGCTATTTTATAATCAATCAAAGACAGGATGTTTACAAGATATTTCTAACTGATGCAGAAGGTCAAGTCCGGGAGGAGTTGGCCTAAGTCATTGATTGTGCATGCTGGACTTTGTGGTTTGTTCTAGAATACATTTATAAAAAACAAATGAGTCGAGGATTTTGCCACCCTTTGGCTAATTTTTTTTTTCTTTGTGTAGGTGCAAATTATTGTTCATTTAAACCCCAGAAGACCATATGGTTAATGGCTTTCAAACGCAGCTCTGAGAGGAACAGTGCGAATACCCTTTTTGTTGTTGTTTGTGGTAAAGACAATGTTAATGGGGTATCAAATTCAAATGGCATACATCTAAGGCCTTATTCAACACATTGTTGTGGGGAGGGAGTGATTTCATTTTGAGAACTCTGTTCAAGGTTTCGTTTCATCCGAAAAAATAACGATTAGGTTGTAACTGGTGTAACTTGTTCAGGATTGGTCCTGGTTTCATAGAGTATAGGGCACACCCTTTAAATTTAATTGCATGTTTACAGTAAATTTATGGTTTTGGTCATTTTTTTTTCTGGTCGTTGCATGATTTATAATTTTTTTATTAATACAAATAGTAGTATTTGTTCTAAAGATTTTTAACTATTTAACAATGAAAGTTCAAATACATTGGTACTTGAACTTGAGATCTCTAAGATTGGAACAATAATCATTTTTTAATCACTGTGATAGTTTGATTCGTGTTATGATTTAAAAACTTAAATATGGTATTATGATTTAAAATTTTAAATATGGTCTCTGACCGATTTGATAATTCAGGCAGCCAAGATTTCGACTTTAATCGAAGTCCCAATGTTGAATTTTGAGTATGATGCCTATGGACCGGATTGGAAATAAATATGTTATCAAATGTATGCATTGATAATTTTAATTTGAGTAATTGTAAATAGATGTAATATTATAATCGTTTTAAAAGAATAATCTATAAAAGTTATATCAATTAATAATTGCAGTAATATGAAAAAGAATTTACATATAAATTTATTAGTCTATTGGTCAATCTTCAAATGGTGATTTATTATTTTATTGAAAAAGTACATAAAATATGAGAAAATAAAAGTTTTCTAGTAATATCAATTATTTCTTTTCAAAAAACGATAATAAGAATTTTTTTTTGTATACTACAGAATTTATATTTATATAATTGATTGGGCCCTAATTTTCAATCACAAGCAAAAGAAAGATTTTAATTTTAGATTAAGCTAAGGTGATTATAAAGTAATATTTGTTTTAAATATTTATAATCATTTGACAATAAATGCTCAATCAACTTGCTATAGTTGTTGGCGCTCGAATTCGTGATCTCTTAGAACAACAATTCCTTTAATCGCTGAGGTAAATTAATTTGTGCCAAGAAAGATTTTCATGACTCTACGTGATCAGTGCGCTTATCATGATGAATTTATATATCCGAAAAGAAATTTTTTAGATTATCATAAATATGATGCTTTTCTTGTTAATATATGCATGCCATGATTTTGGATGATAAGTATAAAATAATCAAAATGGCCATATATGATAATAGGAATTGAAGCGTTAGACACTTGAAAATATATAAATCTTAATTATTTTAAAAAAAATCAACAAATGGTTGTATATTAAATAAAAAAAATATGTTAATTTTTGTACAACTTGTCCCTTCTTCAAGGGTAAAATATATAAATTATAAAAATAATTTGTTTTAATTGCAATCCACATTTTAGTTTGAAGACATATCATCATGCACCCATGAAGCTAGAAAAAGCTAAAAACGAATGTGAAAACTCCAAACCATTAATCTCCGCATCTTCCATACTTCTCCGACCACCATCACCGCCTTCGGTTTCGGCAGGCATCAAGAACCGACAAACCGGGCACGAACCATGGATTTGTAACCACTTCTCAATACAACCCGAATGAAACACGTGCTTGCATGGCATCTCCCTAGCTTCCTCATCAACTTCAAACTCTTCCAAACAAATACTGCAATGGCCACCACTCTCTTTCACTTTTTTCCTCAGCATTGCTTCTATTGAAGCTTTTGACGCTGGTGCCGGCCCAAGTTTATTGCCAGCGTCCGCTCCACCGTCGCCAAAGTAGAAAACAACATAAAAGACTGGGCGACATTGTTGGATTTCGGTGGGAGCCTCCGCCATGCCAGCGTAGGAGAAATCAAAGATTTAACTCTGTTTTTGGCAGAGGAAAATCAAAGAAGAAGAATAAGTTCAAAAGGAAGAAGAGAACTGGTTTAGTTAAATAAATTAGAAAAAGAAAGAGAAGGTTTTATAGAGGAGATTGACCATTGAAGAGGCAATTTCTAAAGATTGCACATTCCAACATGTATGAACTTAGGATGAACAACTTCCCAGTTTCTATTTTACAATGTGCATTTCATCCTAATTGGTGAAGGACAAATATATTTTAGTATGTATTAGTTGTGTTATGTATTTTATATTTGTATTATTTGTATTTTAAGATATTTATGTATTACTTGAAATTGGAAAAATCACTCTTCGAAAACAATAAAAAATACTAAATTAAATTAAAATAAAAAATATGGGTAACCTGCACAAATGATTAGTGATGTTTTGAGTAAGTATTCTTTTTTGTTTGACCATAATTTTAAAAGTAATAAAATGATCATTAACGTTATTAATTTATAACAAATTAATCGGCCGATGTTAACTTGAGTCACTCGGGTTATTAGTGGTTTGGAAAGAGTGAAGATTGCTTAGTTTTGGCAGAGAATGAACTTTTGGACCGTTTCATTGACAGGGAAGAACTGTGTATGGATCATATTGTGATCAAGAATGTCCGATACAAAGCTTCCTTCAAAACTACTCATCATAACAAAAATTCCTCTCAACATCGAAAGGAAGCAGAGAATGGACAGAAGCCTTCTGCAATACCTGAAGTAGCTATTACAACATACATTAAAATGTTACTCGATTACATTTTTCCAAAGGAGGCTTTTCACTTTTACGTCAATTGGTGCCGGTCCATTCTTTCCAGTCCTTGTCTACATGATCCGTAGCCCATTTGACAGCAGCACGTGCAGCTTCCGGCCCTCCAGGCAGTCCGCGCTCATCTATAGTATCGGCCATGTCAATGAAAGGTATGACCAAGAGTGTTCCAGGACCACCATATTCAGTATGCAAGAAAGTACTGAATATCTGTTTAGAACAAGCAGAAACAACACAATTGAGTGCGGGTATAACTATTAGATGGATCGCCACAACTAAATGGCAACGAATGTTTACTCCACTATTGCATATACCAATTCAAAGTATTGGTTTAGTATTTTGTCCTTTGCCACTAAGAACAAAGGGCTTGTTTTCCACTTTTCTTCCAACAATCAGTCTCAGATGAAGGAAGCAATGACAAACAGGAGGTTTCTCATTTAGGCATAATGCCAAAAAATAAATCCCTAACATTTGACTAAATAGTTATTTTGGTCCCTATTCTTTTTTTTCAAAATATTTTGGCCCCAATGTTTTATTTTGGGACAAAAAGGCCCCTGTCTGAAAACCGTTAGTTAACAAATGATCAATACTCCAAAATAAGAGCCTTTTTTTACCACATTCATTTATTCTTTATTCCTCCTTCATGAACAAGCTATTCAAATTGTCTAAATTCTTTTGACTACATTCCCAGGTTTTCTAGTGAAGCGGATGTCTACATAAAAAAATAGCACAATTATCTCTATTTTAACTAATTATGCTCTGGAAAACCAAGCCTTTCACATTCACAATCATCTCATTAGAAAGTTCAAAGTTTAAACCTTTAGATAAAAAACTTGCTTTTAGTTTTGTTTAACAAGTGGCTTTCATGGAAATTATGAATGGCATATTCTATTCTGAAATAAGAGAAATCTAATCAACCAGTAATCTACAATTTCCACTCAAACAACAATCATACGCTCCACCAACCATCAAAATTAGAAGAAAATTTTCTTAAAATACGGAAAAGACAATACCTCGCCGCAGATTCCTACAACTTCTTCAACCGAGTCTCCATAAATAACCTCCTCCTTGGACAGTTTCTTGAGCAAATGAGACCTAAATTTATCCGTTTCCTGAAGCAACCCAAATAAAATAAAAAAACCCAAGAATTGAATTCTACCATAAAATAAGACATACCTAAGATAATTAGAAGCTCAAAGATGTTAGAGGGAAGAAAATGGGAACTTACCACATCAGCGAATTCGGGAATCGGGTCAGGGAATTTGTACTCAGCAGCTTTGCAAATGAAGTTGGGCAATGAGAAAGAGAGCAAAAAAGGTGTTGTTTTTTTGCTGCTTAAAGAGTAGGCGAAAGAGTTTTTGAAAGCAAAGGAAAGTGAAGATGGAGGAGGAGAAATAGAAGGAGTTGGGGAAGAAGGAAAGGAGGGAAGTGAGAGAAGCGTGGAAGAGATAAGAGCTTTGCTTAATGAACCCATCTTCTTATCTTCTTTTCTTCTAGCCTGTTGGGGTTTAACGTTTTTATCTTAAAACCCCTATCCTTTAAGGGTAAATTACAGTCATGGTCACTGAACTAAAAATGACGTCTAAAACATTCATTTTAAACCCTAAACCTCATCTCATCCTGCTGCCCCTTTGAATGTTTTTCTAAGCCTCAGAAAAAAAGAAGAAGCTTATCTCAAAAGAGGCAATAATGATTTCACGTGGCTCAACTTCAATGCTCAACTTATACAGTTTATCAACCACCACCCCAAAGCTCCTCTCTCGTTTAAGCCGCTCCTCTTTCCTCTCTACTTCCACGCCATCTCCTCCAATACGTTTAATTTGGCTCAATCAATCCTACAGGTGCCGAACCAGGGCCTTCAGCAGCGCAGCCGTTGTTGTCTCTTCTCCAAAGCAAACCGGGGGAGATACCTTCTTTGCTGAAGAGACTGTTTCCTGGAAGTCTTTAGGCCTATCTGATCGGATCTCACAAGCTCTATCTAATGCAGGTTTCGATAGACCTTCCCTCGTTCAGGTGCTTTGCCTTCCTTCTTTTGACGAGTTCATATCAATTTCTTGTAATTTAAGCTCCGTTTCGAACTAATTTTGCTGCTCGACCTTTATTGATTCGGTGATGGAGGGGAAAATTTGTTTGGGACTTGGAATAATTAGTAATTGAAATTGTATTGTTAATACTTCTTAAGGAACAAAATGATTGATATTTTCTTTAGAATTGGTGTGGCTCTTTACTCATTTGATTGTGTTTAATCGATTATGAATATGTTTTCAGTCATTTGATGCTAGCAATAAACAAAGAGAAAAATCTGAAAGGTATGGAGCAATTTTTTAGTTATTCTAAACATATTAGCTAAAACAAATATCAAATTCATTTATTATTTAATACCCGTTAGTTTGAATTCGATATAGAGTTTAAGTTGATTGAGGCCAATGGTTAGTTTTTACCCTTGATTTCCTTTTAGTCTTCAATCATGTGAGCTCACCATTAATGGGTGGATTTGGGCGCTTATTGAAAAAAAATTCCTTTTTTGAATTTATATAGGCTGCCTGCATGCCGTCTATACTCTCTGGAAAAGATGTTGTAATTGCTGCGGAAACTGGTAGTGGTAAAACATATGGTTATCTGGTTCCCCTGATTGATAAGCTTTGTAGTGCTCAGCATGATGGGGATAATGATTCGGATAAACCTACTGCTCCTTCGCGTAGTTTATCTGTTGTTCTTTGCCCAAATGTATTGCTCTGCGAACAAGTGGTTCGAATGGCTAATGATCTTTCAGGTGATGATGGCAAACCACTTCTCAGAGTTGCAGTGGTGTGTGGTCGACAGGTATTTTTGTGAACCGCATCATACATCTCTTTGGCATTGTTAGAATTCATGGTTTCTATGTTATTGAAACTTGGAGGCTGCTTTTAAATTTTTTTCAGATGCATACTTTTGTATTGGTAAAATCTGGTTGTCATAAATAAGACGTTTGACTACAGGGGTGGCCAGTTAATGAACCGGATGTTATTGTGTCAACACCAGTTGCTCTTTTGAACAATATAGACCTAAAAAAACATCATCATTCTGATTTCATTCGTGCTGTAAAGTATGTGGTATGTTTTCTGACTCATAACTTTGTATTCGTTTTTGTCATTTGGGAAACTACAAGGCTCTTTTTTAAGAAAAGAATATTTACAATACATAACAGGTTTTTGATGAAGCAGATATGCTTCTTTGTGGTGGCTTTGAGAATCATGTTATCCGTCTTATACACATGTTCCGTTTTGATGAAAAGCTGTTGTCTCGGATGAGTAAATCTGGACTTGAGAATTCCGTAGAACTGACTTCTGATTCTGTATCACACTTTGACTTCGAGGGTGAGGAAGACATACAAAACGAATCCATCTCTGATGCTGAGGACCTGACAGAAGGAACTCAAACTTCATCCGTCGAGAAAAAGGACTGGAGGAGAGTGAGAAAATATTATGTACGAAGTAAGCAGTACATATTTGTTGCTGCAACCCTTCCAGTTAATGGAAAGAAAACTGCTGGTGCTGTGTTGAAAAAGATGTTTCCAGATGCCAACTGGGTTAGTGGAAGTTACCTCCATCAACACAATCCTAGGTGCCAAATTCTTATACTCTTTTGTTTTTTTACCATCTTCCATTGATAAACGGTGCTGCTTTTATTTATGGTTATTAGACCTGTTTAGAGGCCAAGACATTTATCTCTTTCTCATATTTTATTGTTTTAAGCTTATCACTGCTCATGGTGATCTGTTTGATAAAAAAATGTCTGATTGTTATCACCAAGGAAAAAAGATCGTAAAGTTTTGTGATACCATTTTTCTTATGCATGGAGATTTAGGCTGGACCTGTTAATTTGTGTATCTGTTTTGTGTTCCTGTATTTTGTCAAGCCATAATGATATTTAAGGTCTTTTATATTTATATAAATTTTGATAATAACTTGAATTATATAGATTCTAAAACATTCATGCATTCATTGTCATATTCACATTGTGGTTTAGTTATTTTTCTATATCATGTTTAATATTGTCTAGTCTAACTTAGAACATTTCGCGAATTACCAGATTAAAACTGCTGTTGTTACCAACCATGGTGTATTAACCACGATAACCATTTTAAAAATAGCATCTATTTTCCTTCTGTTTGCTCACGTCTTTAAACTTTAAAGGCTACTGATGCTTGGATTTTGGTTGCCAACAAGATGCATTTAATTAGCTTTAAAACTAAATCCTGAGGAATCAGTTGGCTATCAATGTTGATGAGCTTGGAAACATAAGAACTCTGAGGAATCTATGCCGGAACACTTAAGTCATACTGAATTTATTAGGTTAGATGTGGTGTCCTTGCTTGTGTTTCTCGTAATAAAGATTCAAGACAAAACTTGTTAATCTGTCTGTTTTGAGGGGCGAAAATGCTAAGCACAATTAATTTTTGCGGATCCAATATGTTGATAGTTTTATGTGGCATAACAGCTAGCCCTACAGAATCCGACCTTTGTTTGTGCCGTTGCATGGTTTTCAGTTCCTCTACACCTTTGAGCCATCATGCATTTGCCCTATGTCAATAATCATCGTTTCAATCCCTCATGCCCTGTTATTTTCAATGTCAATAATTAGCTTATAGGTGATTTTTGTTTCTTTTCCAATCTCAGATTGAAGGAGAAATGGGTTGAAGTCACAACTGACACTCAGGTTGATGCACTAATAGAGGCTGTAAAGCAATTTGACTCAAAATCATTGGATCATGGTGCTGGTGTTAGCCGAACCATGGTGTTTGGTAACACTGTCGAGGCTGTTGAAGCAGTGGCTAATATACTGCAGAGGGCTGAAATTGTGTGTTACCGTTACCATAAGGGCCTCTCCCTGGAAGAACGTGCTGAATCCTTAGATGGTTTCCGAGATAAAGGCGGAATTTTTGTGTGCACAGATGCTGCTGCTCGTGGTGTTGACATTCCAAATGTTTCGCATGTCATCCAGGTGATCCATTTTACTAAACCAATTTTACAGCTCGTGATAAATGGATAATCTGGCAACATATGGCTCTTTCTATATAAGAGAATCAAATAAACTGTGTAAGTTACAGGAGAGCTAACTCACCAAGCTTATTTTATTAGGGAGGATGGAAAATAGATGGAAACTCTTTTAACAGTAGTTGGGATTCATAACCACGTTTTCTATTTCATATCTCTGACCTTTTGGATTAAAGTTTCCCCTTCTTTCTTCTTTCCACACTTGTACCAAACTGATAATGCTTTTAATAAAAATTGACGAAAGTGTTGTTAATGTATTGCCATTTCTCTGTAGAAAAGGAATTTATAGATGATAACACTGTTATTAAGTTATACTTTACAAAAGCAGGATCATGTTAGAGTTGCTGACAAACGGATATATGCAACAAAAATCTAATTGTAAATAGACATACATACATGTCACATGAGCATGACCAATGCAAGAAAGATGAATTTTGAAGTAGTCTGGTACATGTTATATGAGGAAGAATAGGCATTTATATTTCTTTATACTTCTGTGCAATCACATCTGAGGAATACTATATAAACAGCAATAAAGGTCATTCCTAGTATAAGGGAAATATTTATATAAATATTGATAGGGAGCTTAGGTATTGTCATGAGTTTATGACTAGCAAATTATCTAAATTATTTAGGGCAAGTAAATCATCTGAAATATTTGATTCTTTCAGGCAGACTTCGCCACTTCTGCGGTAGATTTCTTGCATAGGGTTGGTCGAACTGCACGGGCTGGTCAATTTGGAGTTGTTACTAGCCTCTACAATGAATCCAACCGAGACCTTGTTAATTCAATACGCGCAGCTGGGAAGCTGGGGCAGCCTGTGGTAATTGAAAAAGCTTTCAGTTCCTGTTTAGCTGAATCGACTGTTCAAAACGCTTTGAACTCATATGAAGGAGATAATAGTAGTACACACACATATATATATATATATATATATATATATATGTTTTCTCCTGATCCTGAATATATGCATAAGGCTGTGATTCTATGATTAGGAAGTCTTGTTATACAAATTAAATTCCTTATGCTTGTGTATGAGTTGATTTTTTTTTTTTGTGCAGTGACTAAAAAATGTTTTTTGTTGGCTATAGGAATCGGCATTCAGCCGGAAAAGGAGTTTCCGGAACAAACTTAAGAAGAGAGGTTACAACACCAGAGACGCACCAACTGCTGAATTGATGGTGTAAGAAACATGGTACACAAAGGACAATAGTTATTGGTTCTGTTAAATACCAAGTTTGTTCTTACCGGAAGGAGAGGATTATTGATTCTGTGTCTCATTCCGTTTTAGGCTGTTACGAATAAGTTCCATAATTCCGGCCGCTGAAGATGTTCTAAAGGGACCAATGAGTGTATCATCTTTTAAGAATTCGTTTTCCGTTTCGGTAATGCATTCTCATCTACCATGGCTTACAGTTGAATGTATTGAAGCCTCCAACTGTTACCTTGGAATGTAAATTGCACCGTGACAAGTTATAGGAACCCGCATACTAAACTTTTATATTTGATCATGCTAAGGTCCAATTTGATATAGGAACTCATGTCATGGACAAATTTATTAAAGGGAAATTATTTTTCAAGATGCCCTTGTTTTTAACTTGAACCTTCCTTTTATTATTATTATTTTTCTTTTTTTCTTTTTCTACTTTTGTATTTTGCATTAGTAAAATTAAGGTTCTTAGATGAATGAAGATAAAATTCTAGAAAAATAAAGTTTGAAGATATTTTTTTACTTAAATATTAGTGGACTTTTTTTTTGGTTGTCCTATCGGTTCCCAAGGTTTACCTTGATTACTCTGGATTGACTCGGGTCATACACCTGGTGGATGAGTCTTCCAGCGGAGATTTTTTGCGTACACAAGAACTTGAACTCGATACCTGTTTAAGCGATATCAAGTTGCTTACCAGTTGAATCAATCTCATTATAAATATTAGTGTACTTTAAAAGGCACATAATATACCACGATTTGAGGTTATAAAAGAAACCTGGGTGTTTATATCAAAGATCAACTCTTTTCCATGAGATCTTCATCCCGAGTCTGGTCAATTGGAATTTACTTTCAAAGATTTTTTTTAAAAATTTTTTTCTTGGATCACTCTACAATATTCATTTCTCAGTTTCCATCATATAATTCATTTGTTTTTGCCCCTTTTCTAAATGTATAAGCATTGGTCTAACCATTAAATTTACAGATAAAACAACTTTTAGTTTTTGAGCTTGATAATTTTCGCAATTTAGTCTTTGAAATTTATTTTAGTCCATATTAATCCTTACATTTGATAAAATTTCCTGCTTAATTCCTTAACTTATTTTGATCCATAATATTAAAGTATCAAATTATCTGGAAAAAAATCCAAATTAAAGAATTAAAAAACTCACGAACTGAAAAGTTGAGAAATTCATATCCCTGAACTTTAAAGCTCGCACAACAGCAAGTAAACGACAGTACAATTCCAACTTCTTCCCATTACTAAGGTGTTGCCCCGTCTTCAAATTTTATAATAATTTCATTTAAATATTAAAGTCAAACGAAGAAGTAATCAACTAAGTTACATATATATTTAAATCAAACCCATAGTATGTCGAGGCCTTGCAATTGAAAATATGGCTTCTGCAGTTACAACAGCCTTCTTTGCTGCATGTTTGGGCTTGCTGATCATGGTTGTTTCCACCCATGAGGGGCACGAGCAGACACCTGACATGGCCATGTCGCCAAAACCAGCTGTGAGTTTCGGCAATTTCGTGGTTCTGACCACCGTGTAATGGGGGATCCCTCGCTTTGGTTGTTGCAATTTTTGTTGCGGGGGAGCGAGCCTGATCTTCCTGTGACTGAATAATCTGATTTTCAGGGTCTCTCCTTTGCCGGTGTTGTTTTGTCTGAATGATGTGTCTAGTATTTTGCTTCTCATTTTAGTTTCTTTTTCTTTTCTTCCATTCATGTGTCCCCCGTATGATTAATTTATGAAAATTTTCACGTGTCAATGTTTTCCTTTTAACACACCTTAATTTACATAGTTAAATGAAACAGTTGGAAATTAAGAGAGGAAATAGATTCAGATTTCAAATTCAATCTTGAACAATCTCTACTTCTTTGCCTTTATGCGAGTACGAACAAAATTGACTTTCAACCAAGCTTATCATGTAATGATAAAGAACATTACTTTGATCGATGGCATAACAAAAAGCCGAAAGTTCTGGCCATTGTTGTTATGTTACTTTCAAAGATTGGACTGAATGAGAGCGGACGACAACAATCACCCCTCTTGAAAATTATTAAAATATTATATATTTAGATTTTTTTAAAAAAATTATTAACAATATAATTCTGCGTCTGTCCTGCAGTCCCACTGAAAATCATGGCTTCTGAAATCCCACCTGCAACGTGCAATGGTAACGATATTATAACAGGAAATCAATGATTTGAGGACCGTATCAAATGACTTGGTTAGGCAGATCAACAAGCCCCTTGGTATTATTTTAAAGCCGTGATCATCATACTCAAGGATCAGTTTCCTTGGAACTACATTTTATAAATTTATTAATTCAATTCATTTACCTTATTTGGTTTCTTCTCTGACACCCTGCCACAAGAACATTCTTCATACTAAACTACACAACGATAAGCTCAATACTCTTGGAACTAGAAAGAAAAATTAGCACCAGTTGGGGTTAAGGATGCCAATAGGAGGAGTTGGGCCGGGAGTGTATTCTACCTCCACGGTCCGGACCCCGACCAGTTCAGTGTTCATCAATAGGAAATCATACAAGAGCACTTGTCGAGAATACACCAGAAAAATTACAAATACAACGGGGGGGGGGGAGGAAAGAATTTTACAATAACAATGAGTTGTTGTCATCCTTAACCATCTTTTCACATCAATGATCAACAAAATACGGTGCAGTGTGGTGCTTACCTGCACAAATATTGAACCGATGGAATAAATTACGGTCTGATATGTAATTCGTTCGGCCCCAACGTTGCAGACTTGTTTATCCTGATATCACATTTGGCACAGTTTAATTGAATCATAACTTTCCATCCGAAAAGAAGCAAGCATTTTGTAGAAAACAAAATTCCATACTTTACCTGTTCAGCATGGCTGCTTTCTCTTGTCAATTTTTAAGTGGATGTTATACCATTTCTTCTTCTTTGTTCTATCCCTTGTAGAATGTTTCCTTTCTCTCACTTCACCATCTTCTTTGGCCTCCTTGGAGGCACCCTTACTCCTGTTCCTACTCGAACTTCTCTTACTTGGAGGAACAGTTGTGTAGGAGGCATGAATCTCGTTCCTTTGTTTGAGAAGCTCGTCGATCTGCCAAACCAACATATAGGATTTCCTCGAGAAATTTATCCATTGACCTTTAAATTTCGGTTTCTTACGGATCTTAGAATCATAATTCCGACAAGTTAGTCTCACCTCTTGCATTTCCTTTGTGTATCTGCTTGTCATCTCGGTAAATTGTGCCAGCACCTGTAGCACTCTACATGAATATCAACAAGTACAAAAGTTCAATACCAGCATACACACTGGATGTGAGGAAGTGGATACCTCTCTGTATTCAGTTTCAAACTTTGACAATTCCACCCGTTTGGACAGAATCTCAGCTTCCACGGTTCTAAGGTTCTCCTTTTCCTCTACGAAAGGGGCAGTACAAATAGCTTCTATAGTGTAGCTTACACTTCTGAAAAAGTTGTCACCTAGGGAAAAGGGTTTGAGAATATTAAAATGGTGGTGAGTTTCATCCATGCACGTGAAACAACAAATAGAAGAGATTTGAGGGGCAGAGAAATGAAGGAGCGAACCATAAACAGCGAAAAAATGTGTGCCCGGTTTTAATTCAGTTACTTCACATGGTTGAAATCCATCCAGTTTTTTGAAAAAAGCTGTATCTGGATCCTTTGCAGCAGCAACCTGCAGTGAATCATTTTGAAACCGCATAAAGGATGACAAGATCAAACTTCAGCTTGAAGCACAAATGTCATATTTAAATATAGTCACTCACTGAGTTAACTGTTTGATCCAAGCGATAGACGGCAAAGCCAAGAAAATACATGCCAGCAGATGTAACCTTTCCTGTTTTTGCACTGTCCTCCTACACCAAAAAGAAACAAAAGTATTTTTAACACAGTTAAGTAACACAAGCATGATTTTAAGTGAGGCCCGGCCCAAGAACTTAAGAGTCTTAAAACAAATGCAACAATCTGTTACATACAGTGGACAAAACCCAAGAAAAAAGTTTTACCTAATTCTACTCATGCCTCAACAATGTTTTGAAAGGGAATAGGTGGCTAAAAGGCCTAAAGTTCTATTAATTGTGAGCTTTCTTTGCTCCAATCTGCTCTCTGGAAACATGTCCTATTAATTATCAACTGTTGTTGTTTACTCAATATCGTCAAGGGAGAAGACTTAAATGGTTCTACAATAACCAATACATAGCAGTTTATGAAACAGAAAATCTACATGTTACACATAAACAAAATGGAGAGCTTTTACTTTGTAGATTATAAGACTTGGTGATAGTTCATCAGAAGAAAGTTGCTATGCAACCCAAACACTGCACGACTCAAAAACTTTAAAATGTGAAAGGGGAAAAAAGGATCCTCATTACCTGCAGTGCAAGGCTTAATCCACCATTCTCTTCTAGATCAAAATACAATAGCTGCATAAAACCAATCAATTAAACAATGATTAATTATTGACTCATAGAAAAGGATAAAATATCAATCTTCATTTTTCCGTGCCTCCTGGTAAACCAGACAACTAATTAGTAATGTTTATATCTATATCAAAATACAATAGCTGCATAAAACCAATCAATTAAACAATGATTAATTATTGACTCATAGAAAAGGATAAAAATATCATGCTTCATTCTTATCAAAATTCATGATTCATGCTTCATTTGTTAGGATGGGTGTTTGTTGGGGTCTTTTCTGTTCAGTCATCAGGGTGTTTTTTTGTTATCAAGAACCTTGTTTATCTATATTCTAATATACTTGAGGTACTCTTTTCCTCCTGCTATTTGCTGCCATACCCTTGGTATCGTGGCAATTATGAAGGGTTTTTTTAATGAGACCTCCAATTCTTATAAAAAATAAAAAGTAATGTTTATATAGCATATTTTAAAAATATATATATTTGAAAGAAGAAAAAACCCTATATGATTGTCCATTGGATCTCAAGAGTATCTCTTAGCAATTCATGCAACAAAAGTTCAAAAGAAAAAAATTATTTTAATACAAGGGTTTCAATAGAATTAAAGTAAAACAATACCAGATCTAATTCAAACTACACTGAAGCAATGACACTTATAAATCAATATCAACAGTAAAACTACACAAAAGCATTACCCTAGCCCACAAACTAAAACTATCTACACCTGCCTCAGTGTCACAAACAAAGTTGCATCTAACAAAAGACCATCGATTGACCATAAAAGAGATGAAAAACCATCTCTAATACTCTCTGACTTAGAGTAAGGGCTTCAATTCTTATATCCTAAATCAACGAAGCACTTCCAGGGCATTTTTTTTCCTTTTTATTTTATGGTGAGGAGAACGGGGAACCTTTCTTACATCATTTGGTGTAAAGCAAAGAAACGTAATCTCACCATTTAAATTCCTGCACTCATAAAATATTGTGGCTACTTAATTGCTAATATTACACACATATTCCAAAAGGCTCAAAATGGATACAGTTCAAATTTTGTTCATTGGTGCAGAGAAAATGAAATCAATCTCAGTTTCTATCATTGTCAACAACCCCTCTCCCCCCTCCTTTCTTTTTTTCCCAGAAAAAGAGGAAAAACTAGTTTGCATGTGCAGATAATGCTGAATCCACCAGTTTCTAACTCATTGTATATCTACCTTGAACTTGCTTTTATCAGGTGATTGTACTCTGCAAACAAGCCCATCCCTTGCTTCCTCTTCTGTTATTTGGACAGAGTAGAAATGAGCACATTGTTTTTCAACCTGTTAAAGGTGCATCAAGTTTCAGTGACTGCATTAAAAACATTATAAAGAATTAGCAAATAACAGAAATATAGTCATCTCACCTTCCTAGAAACAGGTTGCCCCAGCAGAAGCGGCTCAATATTGACCACACCATTAAGTGCCTCCTCCAGAACAGTTGCAGATACAGTGGTCTTAATTGGCACTCCAAGTTTACTATTTACAGGAATTAGTTAAATGTATACCCAAAGAATGATACTCATAAAGACAAAAAAAAGTGGGACATGTCAAATAATATAAAGGACAAGGAGTTACCTAAAAAGTGCAGCAAACATGGTGTTCACAGCCCCCAAACTTGAAAGATCTAGCTCCAATTCTTGGTTATCTGCTTCAACAGCCTATTCAAATGAAAGAATATTGCAATCAACAAAATTCATGATTCATCAACAAAATCTAGTTTAGTGGTGCATGATGGTGTTAAGGAGTGGAAGCATGGAACAGCTTAACTTTTGCGGCTTCCCTATACAACCTGAATGAGTGTAACAGTTAGAAAGTTGCAGTATACTCGTGTTCGAGACATATTCAAACATAGGTACGGGGTTATAGTCCTCCAAAAATATTAAAGAAAGAACTTTAGAAAAAAATGATCACACCCATGTCAGACAGATACATGCGACATTCGCCCATGAGTTCAAGTAACATGGGCAGATAACCATCAGAGTAAAAGTATTTCAGAAATTAACTGCATGCATGCATATCTTACCTCAAAACCAGCTGTATCATACTGGCGCCTTTTATCTGGATCAGACAAGATATTGTAAGAAAATGTAACCTCCTTGAACATATCAGCTGCAACAGGATCATTTGCATTCTTATCAGGATGGTACCTGAAATAGCACAAGATTAGCATCTCCAATACCCAACAAGCCGGAATAAAGCAAGAGTATAATAGGAACTATATTTGTACAATAACAAAATATAAACATGTATATAATGAATGAGTCCAACTATCTCAGAAGTAGTCAAAGCCCTGAACTGCATGTCCCAAATCAGATTTTTCGTTTCTAACATCTGTTCGACTGAAAGAAACCATTGAGGCAAGTAATCAATTCTTTTGATTCATGCTGCAAATAAGCTCCTTCCAAGACGCTCGATTATCTTTTTCCACAAACTACTCTAGGCAATAGTTTATCTATTTTTTACCACTCTTCAAGATAACTAAAACTAGTTATCACAACCATAGCTATTGTCCCATCCTTGCATTCATTACAATATAGAACCCCAACGCTGAATCTATCGAAATGACAAATACCCACTTCAAAAATCTGAAGCCTGGTCAAGTCATCGACAGCTACTTGCTCTTTGATGATATAAAGACTCCTATACGCTACCAAAAGGATGCAAAAACCAACAAAACATATCCCAGTCACTCATAAAGCTCCAATTGTCGATCACAATTTGACTTCTAAATTCAAGTCCCCAATACTTATTCCACCAGTGTGCTCCATGTATGCGTGCGAGTTTACGCCGTAATTAACTAATGATTATCACTATGCTCAAATTAGTAACCCTGATCTATTATATAATAGCCACTAAAAACTTCAATAAAAAAGAGCGAGAGTTTGAAACATTTCAATGCTTTTAAACTTATAAAATGAAAAATTAAACATACTTGAGAGCCATTTTCCGGTACGCGCTTTTAATTTCCTGATCCGTAGAGTTCCTCGAGACTCCAAGTACTTCATAGGGATCTCGGCGAAGCTGCTTCGCCATTCCGTCGTTTTTCTCCGACTTGGATCGATGCGGCGGCATTTGAGAAAAACACCACCAAACAAAAAATACGATAAAGGAATTTTCTTTTCGCTTTAGTTTTGCCCCCTCAGGAACCCTAAAAATCCAAAAACTGAACTAAATTCCAAGACCAAATGAAAACTATTTTCCTTTTGCTTTCCACCTCGTTTCAACGAAGTACAACATTTCCTGGGTTCAGAAAGGAAAATGGAAAAGAAGAACAAGATGAATCAAAAGCATAGGAGAGAAAGAGAAAACTCCATTGGACCTCCGAGCTGAAGCATTGTGGGGAGAGAGAGAGATAAAAACAAAGAGGGCGAAAAATTGGAGGGGAACTTAGGTGAATGGTAACATTCTCTTCTTTTTGGCTTTGTAATTACGAGAAAATTATTTAGAAATCATATCCCATATCACACCAATAATCTTAACATTTTCTTACAATGCACCTGAGTTAATTTATATATCATTTTTAAATGATGGAATTCAAATTTATACACTTAAAATTTATATATCTTAATTTTTATCAACCCAATCAAAGTTTAATCGAGAGGATTATCTTTAAAAAATTTGAAGTTTTAACCATATTATAAATGCAAATGATATGATATACATTTGAACAATTATTATAAAAAATATTATAAAATGTAACCAAATTAATAATTAAAGTATTTAAATTACAGATAATAAAATTAAATTTATATATACACATCATTTAAGATTTATTCTTAAATTAGTTTTATTCTTTTAATTTAACACTTAAATTTTTTAACAATTAAACCTTTGAAGCTGTGGTGCATATTGAGCACATACTTAACTAGAGATGGGGTAATAAATAGAATTATGGTCGGTTCATATTTTTGACCCATTCAATAAAATTGTTTTTTTATATCTATATTCGATCTGATTCAAATTTAAAATAACTTTATTTGATCAATATGATTTTTGAGGTTTTTAATTCATATATGATTTAACTCATATATATATATATATATATATATATATATATATATATATATATATATATCATTTTTATTAGGTAAAATAAGTACATAGTTAAAAAATAATATAGAGATAAGTATTATTATAATTATCATTAAATATGAATTGCTCGTCCAGCTCAGTTAGTAGAGCGCAAGGCTCTTAACCTTGTGGTCGTGGGATTGAGTCTCACGGTGGGCAATTCATAATTCTGACTGCCGAAGGTCTTCTACGGAAGCTGCTCTCAACCTAGCATTGGGGGCAGCCTACTATCCTACCTCCCCTCACCCCATTACATATGGGAATAGGGTCGGCTAATTAATTTTTAATTATCATTAAATATATAATGAATACTTATAATATTATTTTAATTTAGATTAAATAATGAGATAAAATGACTTTATTTAACTAATAGGATTTTTCTTTTCTTTTCTCTAACCTAAGTTTTCTCCAAATCTTTTTATGTCGTTTTCTTCTTTTCTATTGATTTCTTTTAGCTTGCGGGGACACCAATCATAATATTAATTGATGATCGTCGGTGATTATAATTTTTTGTCCTTTTTTCTATGGATTTTTTTAATTTTAAATAAGAATCTTTATCCTTGTTATACGATTTTCTTTATTATTGTGACACATTTCATATGTTTTTTTGTACGTTTTTCATATACCTCTATAGTCGTATTAGTGCTCGCACAAAGATCCTCACAACATTTATTTTTTGATTAGTTTATTGGTGGTCATGTATTGTCAAGTTCATTCTTTGGTAAAAAGGTTGTTTGTCGATATAAGTCGTGTTGGTACGCTTTTTCTCTGCTAAATTATTTGGTTTACTCGCTACTCTTTTATCACTTCGTAGAGTGTCTCGTTCAACAAAGACAATGAATTTTATGAAGATTATTTGATTTTTTTAATGTTGGACATCATTCTAAATGAAATATTTTGTATTTTCGTATATTTTGATTTCAATATTTTTATTTTATGTATGAGTTTTTTTTAATGCCTATTGTCTCCTTTTTCTCTTTCTATATTAGAATGCATTGTAGTTTTAATTCACTTTATTATATTTCTGAGTGAAATCTAGTCGTCATTACTAAAAGAAGATTAAATCATTTTTTTTATTATAAATCAGATCTTGATCCGATTTGATGTGAATTTAAAATTTTAACAATGAAAGAAAATCAATCAAATTAAATTAGATTGGATCTAAATTTTAATAATCAATTAAACGATTCATATCAAATTAATTTTATTGTCAAAATTAAATTAATTTAATCAAAATAATGAAATAAATCAAACTGATGATTTTTATTTTTTCTTCTACCTTTTAAAAGAGTTTTTATTATTAAAAAATCAATTGTGAATTAAACACTTACATGTAATTAATTAAACTAGTAAATTACATTGTTTTATATTTGAGTGTTCAATTGCATATTTATATTAATTGAACTATACATGTACAAGCAACTTATTTTTTTTAAAAAAAAACTTATCAGTTAAATTGTTTGTTTTGATTTGAATTCCTAAAATCTTAAAATCAAATTAATTACTTTATTAAATAAATTAAAATTTCAAGTTAAGTCAATTGATTGATTCTATTTAATCAGCTATTTACTCAGCCTTGATAGAAACATATACCTAAAAAAGAATGTACAAATTGATACATTTTGTATTAAAATTGATGGTGAAGATAAGATCATATTAATAATGGATTATAAATAAAAGGCTCAAGCAAACGTAACCAAAAGTATAATTCCAACAAGTTGACAATGATATGTAAATTGTTTACATAAATATGTAAGAAAACAAATAGAATAAAGCAGGGTTTCAAATCGTAATTGCGTTTTCGGTCATTTCGGATTTATCATGATTGTGGCCGTCGCGGGCGTTGTTGAACGCTATTGCGGGTGTAACAGGTAACTCGAACGGTGAAGAAACCGTTATATCGCGGTCGCAGAACATTTTTTAAAACCTTGGAATAAAGTAAGAGAGGTACAAAAGAGATGATGTTTTCTGATCCATTTTTTTCTCTTTAAAAAGTATAATTTCTACACAAGAAAGGAATTTATACCAAGATAAATGAATGATAATTACAAACTAACACTCATTTTTCCTTTTTTTTTATAAATAATATTCCTTTGTAATTTAGACAAATTTGTTTCTTACTCAATGTGCACACGTACCAATCTTTTTAAAGTAAATTTTGGTACACATTTATGAAAGATTAACTTAATGCTTATAAAAAACTGTTGAGTTAGTCGATTGACGGAATCGACTAAGAGGGGGCTGAATTGGCAATAAAAATTTTGGTGGAAGCTTTTGCAGAAAATTGAAAGAAATTGCATAGCGATTTAGAGTGGTTCGACTTTCTCAACCAAAATCTACGTCCACTACCTTAGCTATTCACACTAAGGATTTTCCACAAATTCACTAATTTGTCTTTCTTTTGAGGACAAAGAGTAACCTTACAACCGCTCAAGAATTATACCCCAAATTCTTGAGAACACACTCTCTCAAAGAGAACAATACAAATTTGCAAACTTACAAGGAAATCCTCACAAGGTAGATTGTTTGCACAATTCTAGAACAAAGAAAAGAACACTCAAGAATGAATACAATTGAACACAATAAGTGTTCTTGAAAGCAAAATGAATATTGAATAAAAATAGGCTTGAAATGCTCAAACTTGAGGTTTGATGCTTTCTCTTTGATTCTCTCTTGATTCTAGTTGCTTGATGTTTCTTCTTCTTGATCAATGGCTTCTAAGTTTGCTTAAATACACCTTGAATCACTTCTTAACGTTAGGGATCATTAATGAAGATAATATAGTCGTTTTAGTGTGAAATCAATTAATAAAATAGCTTGGAGCGTGGGGGGAATTGGTACCCTATAGGGGGAATCGGTTCCCTAAGTATAAAATTCAAATATTTCGACCGTTGAATAGTGGGGGGAATCGGTACCCCCTGGGGGGAATCGGTTCCCTCCGAGCATACTGGAATTCTCGGAGCCAAACCATTCAGGGGGAATCGGTACCCCCTTGGGGGGGAATCAGTTCCCTCTGAGCAATATGGAATTTTTGGCTTCGAAATATTTTGTAAAATCATTTTGAAATTATTTTAAGATTAAAACTTAATTTTACACTTGAGTAAGGATTAAAAATGACATTTGAAAGATTTGGAGTAATATTTTGATATTCGAATAATTATATCGAATATACTTAGAAAATCTTTTTGGAAAATCTTAAAATTCATTTAACTTAATTTTTTATATCGAAATATCAAAATATTTTCAACAATCTCCCCTTTTTTTATATAACAAAATATTTTAGTAATTTTAAGATTTTGAAATCAAGTTTTGAAATTACTCCCCCTTACTTTATCACTTCTCCCATTTAAAACACTTAACACTTCTCCCCTTTTTGTTAAATCAAAAAGATATTTTAAAAGAATTTAAACAAGGTTTTCAAATCATTTAGCCAATTATATATAGTTTAAGCTGCTAAGATTACAAGCAAGAGAAACGTTAGCCATTAGTTTCATAATCAATATTCAGAAATAATGTGACATGGCAAAATTGGTCATATATCTAACATGATTTAAATGATGCAATAAATTTAACTAAACCAAATATATAAATTTAAACATCCAAACAAATCCAAAGTCTAACAATCCTCAAAATCAAACATTCCAAAATATTCAAAATGTTGAAACAATAATCTTTTAGTTCAAAGTTCTAAAGCTAAACACAGAATTAAACATCCGGATCGGGAGGAGGAAAACGAGCTCGCATAGCGGTCATCTCATGTGAGAGTGCATCAATACGTTTATTCATCGAAGCGTTGTTTGTGCGCATCTCTCGGAGGATTTCTAATTGTTGAGCTCCCATTGTGGATAAATGGGACTTTATAGAAGTAAAGCGCGAATCCATGGTAGCATATCGAAAATTTAATGTCTCCATAAAAGATTGAAAATATGGAGGCATTTGATGCGTTTGTTGTGCTTGCTCCTCGGGCTGCTCCTCGGGCTGTTCAGGCTCATCTTCGGCTTCATAGATGTCTCGCATTAATTGTTGAAGCTCGGGATCATCGTCACCTTCTGGTGGAGCTCGTGAAGAACTAGCTCCCGGAGTATTTTCAGACGATCGAACCCATTCATCGGTTTCCTTATCCTTTATCCATCCTGCTCTCATTAAGGAAAGAAGATTAATTTGTTTCTTTAGAGGAAATGAGGCATCTAGACCAACTCTAAGCCCAGATTTAGTAAAAAGATTACTCAAAATGCAACCGTAAACTAGAGATGAACATAGT